TCAACAACACCCTCGCGTTGTGATCCACGGGCTCCACGCTGCGCGGATAGGAAGCGGAAGCTCGGAGCACAGCGAAGCAAGACACCGGGCAGGGCTGGCCTGCACTGCAAACTGCCCTGCCCTGCCGACGGACACGGCGCGTTCGGTGGTGGTTCGGGAGCAGCACAGCCAGGCCGTACCCGTACTTGTCGGTGGTTTTATTTCACCCCCTGCCCGTCGTTAAAGCCGTTAGAGCGGCGACAGCGAGCTGTATGGCCGCGGCGGCACTGCGGCCAGCAAGAGCTGCGCGGCGCTCGCTGTGGTGTGTGATGGGCCACTTCACCTGGTGCCTTCCGCCTGCAGCGGCGGCGCTTTGCATTTCTAATCGGTCGCAAACGGTCACCTCCTCGGCGCTCGCTTGCTGACCCAGGAGGTTGCATTAGCGGACACGTTCAGATCGATGCGGCCCGGCACGGCGATTATTGACGCGGGAGAGCCGCGGCTCTCCGCCGAGTGCAGCGTGCAGTGTATGCGCTGTGCCGGGCATGAGTTGGCAGAGCGCCGCAGCGCCGCACTCTCCCACGCGGCGCGGCGTGGCGCGGCTGGAACCGACTTGCGCTCGCGCTTCCTTCCGCGTTCTGAGTGCCAGTCAAACGACCACCACCGCTACACACCATTTCGTTTTTCCCGCCCCGGCAATGGCGAGAAAAGGACCGGGCCGCACAACGCAGGCAGGGGCAGGGCAGGGCACGGCGGGTGCGCCCGGGCGCTTTGAAAAGGAGGGCCCCTTTGGACACCCGTTACGTCACAATGCGACATTTCTGCAGCAGCCAATAACGAAAGCGCGTCGAGTGCCATTTGCTGACTTGACGTACGCGGAGATGACGGGAGGAGGGGGGGGGGGAGTAGGCCAATTGCTGCCCGCGCGCCGGAAAAGTGGGCGGACAACGGAGCAATTAGCTCACTACCCCAGAAAATATGCAATCGTGATTTTTAAGACCCCGTTACTGGATGCCCGAGAACGAATTGATCTGGGGGATGGTGACGATACACCGTGACGTTAGTGAGATGCTCCCAAACAAGGAGTATCGACACTGCTCGGTTCAGAAGCAGAGTGAGGGAGAGTAAAACAGACAAGGTAAAGAGGAAATCCATTTTAATGATTTCAAGGTACAGGGAAATTTTACAATTGATTAGATGATGGCACTACCTAAAATCATTAGATTAAAACAATTAGGAGGCATAACATTAGTTTTCGACTGATATTTTCAAGCATTGGCATTCCAAAAGTAAAAAGATTCACATGAACAATACCCATGAGCAGGAGCTTTGAGCCCTAATAAAAATTATAAAAGTATTCCTAGGAATTGGTCCACTAGATTGGTCCATCACTGGTTGTACAAAATAATTTATATCACATTTCTCAATTTTCTAATGCACTGGGTGGATTTTAAAACGAGAAACCTCCATCAGGAACAGCTCCTGTGTTGAAGCTGAGTTGCCCATTGACTTGCTGTGGTGCAAGATTGGGATCATCAGGCTCCTGTAAGAAACAACAGTAATTAATGCAAGACTCAGTAAGAAACAAGAGGACATCAAAAACTTAATGAGAAAACATACCCCTGATGAGAAATAGGTGTCAATGATGCTCAGAGCCTTCTGGTAAATTTCTTCATTCTCATGATTCTGCAGGTTTTCAATTTTGTCCAAACCACCACATTCTTCCACAAGAAGGGCAACCTTATCCAAATCTCCAGTCTTCTCAGCAGTGGCCAAAATATTAACAATGCCATCCATAACAACCTTGACACACTTGTGGTCCTTGCAATCCAGCAGCATGCACATACAGTGCAAAGCTCCTTCTTGAACCAAGACTGATAGTTGCTGAATACTACCTCCAGATGTAATGTTTGTCACAGCCCAGGCTGCTTCTTTTTGCGACTTATAATCTCCCTAACAAAACAAGAATTTAAAAATTACAATAAGTACAAAATCAAGATGAAATAACATTTGTGGTACATCAATGCAAAAACCAACTTTACCTCTCTTAAAACACGGATAAGAGGCTGAATAAGGCCACAGTTAATAACCTGCTGGATTTGTTCCGGATTTCCAGCAGTGATATTTGAAAGAGTCCATGCTGATTCCTTCACCAAGTTGGGGCGGGAGTGACCGAGAAGTTTCCCTAAACGGGGTAAAACATTGGATTGAAGCACTGCATCTGTCTGCAAAAATAAAATGAACAAATTTAACTTTAAGCAACACCCTATGAAATGACATTTCTTAAACTTTTGAACAAGGAACTTACTTGCTGATCATTGCCAGTGACAATGTTGCCAACTGTTCTTAAGACAGGTGTCAGCACCAGAACCTCTCTGCTATCCAAAAGCTGAACTAGACGAGGAACAAGGCCAGTACCAACAACTGCTTGAATTTTGTCATTGGTACCATCCGTGAGGTATGATAAAGCCCAGCAAACATCAGCTGTAAAAAGTTTAAAATTAGAGATAGGGAAGAGAATAACCACACTAGAATGAAGTGACAGACAACTTACCAATGACATCATTGTCAGTGTAGTGCAGCAATTTGCAGAACACTGGCAAGCATGGTTTCACACTTTCAAATGGAGGTGGTGGGTTCTTGTTTCTGCACAAGTTTGAAAGTGTCCACACAATGTTTCTCAGCAGAGCCACCTAAAAAAAACAAGGGAATATAATATCAGAAACTGGATTGGCTGGACTGAAGGGGACTTGTCATAAATGCCGATGCCAAGTGTTAAACCTGATGATGCAAATAGAGAATAGTACCATGTCAACTTACAGGAGTATCAGGTGTGACCAGCTCCAGCAAAAATGGAAGGGCATTGCTAGTCAACACAAGGTCTCTGTTGGATGGTCCATCACCAGCTATGTTACCCAAAGCCCAGACGGATTGTTCTACAACATTAGGTGGATTGCCAGGGCCAAGCAACCGAACAAGGCGAGGCACTGCACCAGCCTTCACAACAGTAGAGGTTTGTTCAGAAGTACCAGAGGCTACATTTGTCAGAGCCCATGCAGCTTCAAACTGTAGAGCTGGACTAAAACATAAATTTTCCAATTAGTCTTGAGATAGGTGACCAACTAAATGCAATTAAGATGATGAAGTCTTACTTGTTGAAGTTTTCAAGGGCCCGAACACAGTAAGGAACAACCCCAGCCCTAATCATATCATCAATGGGGGGATTTTGCTCACGACTTAAAGTTTTACGGGCAGCTTGCACTGCAATCAACTGCTGCTGCTCATCTTGACTTTGCATACCTACACAGGAAAAATAAATTAGAATGAACTTGCAAGTAAAAGTAAGAGCATAGTGCTTCATCTTTACTCACCTTTCAGGATGTCGGTAATTGACATTAGAGGAGATTTAATTTGCACATTGTTGTCTTGCAATGGGGAGGTTGCTTCTTCGTCAATAGTGATGTTCCTTCTCTTTTGCAGCTGGTCATCTTTCTTTGCCTTACGCAGCTCAATTGAAACTTCATTACGACGCCTCCGCATTTCCTGCAAGAAAACTGTATGTTACAAGGGAAAGCATACAACACCAATGCGCAAACTATTCCCAGGATGGAGGAAATCTTACATCACAATCTTTTCCTTTGTTCTTGAAGTTCCGCAGTCGGTTAGTAGGGTCATTTTCCTGGGATTGGGACGGCATGTTCCGGCTAGAAGGTTCCCTAGAAACAAATCATGTATCCAAATAAGAACTCAGAAAAGACTAGCAAAATAAGAAATGAGCAAAGATGTGTCCGAGAAAGTATAGTCCCTCAGAACAGATTTCAGCTTACAGCCAAGACATTAGCACAGCAACGGCGACTTAAATATGAACGAAATAGGCGAGAGGAGGGGAAGAAAGAACAAAACTTCACCGCCGACCCCAGCCGGCCGCCCTCACAGTACAGTGAGGTTAGTCAACAACAAACGGGTAACACACAGCAAGACACCGCGGATACACAGGTACTCATGCAGGGTAAAGAGGAATCACAGACGAGCGGCACACGCCTGAAGCCTTCGCTTTCCAATTTGAATAGAAAACTGCGATTCACAAAGAGGGGAGCGGGACACCTGTTGAAAGCATGCCTCTTGTCAGAATTTAACGGTTGCGCCAAGGGGGTTAAAAGCAGCACAACCAATCTCTAGGAGAGAAAAGCAAGGAACGTCAAACAGTTGGGTTGTTTCAACAATGAATGGCAAAGGGGACGGTTGCATGGCAGTGGCACCATTACGGTATCGCGGGAGAAAGTCAGCCTTGCGGGGTGCAGCTGCAGCTCAGCACAAAGACCACATTTCGCGGTGCACAGATGGAGCTCACCTGAACTGGGTCAATTTCAAACGAGTAGCGAACGATGCTCTACGGCTTCCGTACGCTTACTCTGTACAGGGTTTGATGTAACTTAGATTGAGAATCCAACAACACAAACGAAAGTATCAGTCTTGGCGGAACGGTGGTCAGCTCAGCTCTCAACAGTGTGGGCGCCGTGAGAGCTCTCACTGACTCGGACTCGGACTGGCGGCAGTAGTGACAAAGGAACCAATAGCGGGTTCTGATTTTGACGGTTGGCCTTGCTTCCACCAATTACCTTGCAGCTTGCATGTGGCCGTGGAAGAGTCTGTGTCAGCACTATAAGCAATGATCTCATTGGTTGGTTTGAATTACTTTGTGAGGAATGCCAACCTAGCCACGCAATAGTGTCAGAGTTGTAAGTAAAGACGAACTATATAAATTGAAATAATGTGTAAGGTGTTTCGTCAAGGAGAAAAAATCTTTAAAGTCAAGTTGATAAACGCCCTCACATTTTCTTTCGAGTTGTCTCAACAAATCTTTCGATAACACAAGACAAATATTTTGAATGCAAACGTTGGAACTCCCTTTCAAAAACTTTCCTTGGTTCTCTGGTTTTGGAAAAAAAAAAATGAAGAAAAAATATGAGGGAAATAAAAGTGTAGGGGGAATTACTGTCATGGTCCTCGACCTGGGTGGGTACTCTACGCCTGTATCTGAGCAAACTCAGAAGTCTTTCACAGTGAACGTATGATAAAAGGAAACAAAATCCAAACAGTCAAGCAATGTAGATTGTCAAAAATATATTTCATCATGGTTTTGAATCCCATGAAGTTTAAATTATACATTGTTTGCCGGATACAAGGGAATTATAAAATCTCCATAAATATTGTAACTTTCCTTCCCTAAAAAATATGTAGGTATATTATAGTAATACAAGTACATTGAAGGACTCTTCAGACCATTACACTTAGCTTGTATAAAGGTCCTCTGCCAACTGCAAGTTAGTAGTACATAGTAAGGTTGCTCATGAGAAGAGGCATTAACAGTCTGTCATAATGTGTACTCTTCATTTTCTAGAAAGTGAGTCTCATTGGGAAAAACATATCAGAGCTAACCTGTAGCATTTTGTTACATTTGGTATTTAAAAACTGATAGAAAACAAAGCAAAAGAGCAGGCTAAAAATGAAGCTAGAGCTTCATACAATTAGAATAAAAAGGGCGAATAGATATCATAAAACAACCAATTTGAAATACCCAACATTTCATTTGAAGGATATGTGAAAAGATGAATCAGATTTTTATTTAAATCATAAAAAAAGTTGTGAGCATAATATAAAACACAACTTGTTACGATATTTATTGTTGAATTCAATCAGATTAAGATCATTTCATTTTCAAATGAATGTCATAATAGTCTCTAGTGAGCAATTACTTATCTGAAGAACATTGTTAGATAAAAATTATCACTTTAAAATAAAGAAGGCTAGGAACTACATTGCTCTGTATTACAAATACAAGGCAAAAAATTATTTGTGACAGATGTTTACAGATAAATGTATCAACAGGAGCTTTTGATGCATAAAATCAAGAATACATTAACAAACAAATCTTAACAATGGTTACAAACATTATTAGACAAATGAATAAAAGTTTATATTTAAGTTGATAACAGATATCCAATATCCGAAGCTATACTAAACGACTAGATGGGTCCCCCAGCAGGAATGTTCTACATTACTTTTAGCATTTAATAGTTCACTCACTGTACCACAACATGTACGTACATAGAATAAATATTCTCACTGCTTACAACAGGCAAAGCACAAGTCAGTAACACAATATATTTCAGCTATGCTACACTATGTATGGTGACAAAAATTCAACTATGAATTTAAAGCTTCAGACCTTTACAACATTAAAATGGAGGGACTGCCAAATGGTTAACATTAATCCAATTTATCTACCTACACTAAAAAGATATTCCGACACCAATTCAAGCACTGGTCAAAGAGAAAATAAAATTGTGGAAGAATAATTGGTACGAGATGTTATTTGATGATTACTACAACAAAAGATTCTTATTTTACAAAAATACATGAAAAAGGAGAAATAGTCCAATGGAGAATGATTTACAGTTTCATGAATGACTCATCATCCACCAAGAAAAAACAAATATGGTAACCTGAAAATACAAATGAAAAATGGCATTCATTCATTCATTCATGAAGTAGTGGAGTTCAGAAGACCATGAATCAGCAACAATCTTTCACGATATGCCCAGATGTCCAAGCTAGAATTAGGATAAGAATTAAAATTAGAAATTATTTTCGTTTTTATAAACAGACCTTCCAGTACAGTAAAAGCCGCTTTTAACATTGCTTCTACTTGCACTGATTTCCTAACGTTATACGCGGTAAACGTTACATGTTATCTCCAATGCTGATCCGCAACACTTAATTTTCGGTCCAACGTTAAAAGCGGGATAACGTTATGTACGGGAGACGCTGTACACGGCTTTTACTGTACATTATTTACTTTCAAGAGAATCAAAGTAAACTCACCAGGGATAATCTTTGCTGTTCTTTTTGTAGTACTTTGCTGGTTTGATCAGAGTCAAATTTCACAACAGCAGCTATTACTCGTGCTAGAATCTGAGTAACAAAAAGAACCAAACCATTAAAAATTAAAAGCATCAAAAAGATGAAACATAAATTTTGAGACCTGAGTTGATTTTTTTATAAAAGAATCATACCATTGGCTCTTTTCCCATCATATATTCATACAAAATGTTTCGTAAGTACTCAAGCTCAGTTGCGTCCTCAAGATTATCTGATCTGGATGATGTATGGCTATTGCTGGACCCATGGTTTAAAAGAATTCTGCGAAGATCATCCATTTCTTGTCTGTAAGGAGATATTAAAATACATTTTTACAGCTTTTTAAAACACGATTGCAATTATCTTCACAAATCTAGATTACAAAACGCAAAATAATTTTTAAAGTCAACATTTCATGCCCAAATCACATGTGAGAAATGACACTTGAAATAAATGTTACCTATGAACTTTTTTGTTTTCTTTTAGTTGGGTTGTAACAGCTGCAAGTTGCTGCTGTAACTTTTCTACAACACCAAAAGAACCATTGCTGTTTCCATCAGGTAGAGATGCCTCCTTAAAGAGAGAAAACTATGAAAAGAGTAACTTAACATTACATAGACCAAAAACATTTGATATTCTGTAGTTACATCATGCTCCATTACCTGCTGATCCCAAAGTCGTTCTTTTCGCTTAGAGGAGTTACCTAAACCATCAAGTAGATTTTCTTCTTTTAGCCTTTCTATTGTAGCAGCATTTTCCTAAATATCAAATCAAATGAATTGATTAATAGTATGGTTACACCAGCAAAGGAGTATTTCTCCAATTCAAATTTCAAACAGTTTGTAGTAATATACTTTACCTGGAGAGCCTTTTGATGCTCTTTCAATAATTTATTATATTTCTCTTGCCATTTATCATCTGTGAAAAAAAAATAACAATCTTGTGAAATTTTGCACATTGTCCAGGAAAGTTCAGTTCAATAGATGGTAAACTTACTACCTTGACCTTGATGATTTTCAGTTAAGTCAGCATACCGCTTAATGACACAAGGCTCTTCGACTACAGGTTCTTGGGCAACAACAGGACTAAAGGCAACAGAAATCATACAATTATTTTTCCGTATTAACTTTGGTGAAAATAAGATAAGAATTTTTAAGGTGTTCATAAATTTTATAAGCCACACACTTACCTATTTTCTGATGTATTGCCCCTAAACACTGTTTTGGCTTGAAGAACCTCAACTTCTTGGGACAACTCAGCTTTCTCTCTTTTAATGGCTTTTAATTCTTCCTCTAACAATGAACATTTTATTTCAGATTCTTCAGCTCTCTGAATACGGAGAAGAAGGTCAGCACCATCATCCTGAAGTTTGACACACTTTGCCTCAGCCTCTTTACAACGAGCTACTATCTCGTTAAGATTACTCCCTGCATCCTTTAACTTTTTATTTTCTTCCTCAAGTTCTTCAATTTCCTTGGTTTTAGTAAGTAGATCTTCTTCATTAGCTTTCAATGCAAGTTCCAGCATTTTAACCTCATTGAGCTTTGAGAGGAACATTTCCTCTCTCTGTTTCATAGAAATATATTCTGCCTCAAGGTCTTGCGCCACTTGCAGCTTAGCTAATAGACTAACTTCCCGTTCTTTCAAATCCTGAGTTGTTTGAGTTAGCTCCTCCACTTTTTGGGCCAGGCTGGACGCCTCTGTGCTTAAAACTTCCACATTTGCATCTCTATCATCATTTATACAATGAAGTTCCTGGCTTAATTCTTCAACTCTTTTCATTTCATCTGCAAGGTTGTCAAGTTGATTCTCTTTGTCTTCACACTCAAGTGTCTTCTGCTTTAACAGTTGGACCGTTTTCTCATTTTCAATGGTCAAATTATTTAAGTTTAAAGCTAATTCATCACATTTTCTCATTGTCTCATGCAATAGATTTGACTGTTCTGAAAGTTCCTCTCTCAAGGAAGTCAACTGAGAGTTAACAGTTTCCAATTCCTGACATTTAGTTTCCAATGTCTTATTCAGTTCAATTTTATCACTTTTGAGTCTATTCACTGTTTCTTCTAATTTCTTACATTCTGCATTCTTGCTGGCGAGTTCTTCAGAGCCTTCAGTCTGATATTTTTCCAAATTTGACAATTTCAAAGATAAGCTCTCACATTCTTTAATTTTTTCTTGTAAACCGCTGTAAACCTGACTCTTGTCCGCAACCAAAATTCCCATTTCTACGGTCATTTTATTGTACCCCTCTGACTTTTCTTGCAGCATTATAGTCTGTTCAGATACCGTCGTATTAAGCTTTTGGACTTCTTGCATAAGGCTACTGCACTCATCAGTTTTCGATTGCAGTTTTTCTTCTAATTTGGAGTAAGAAACATTAGCTGCAAGTAGGCTTTCCTGCAATTTATTTAGATCAGTAGTCTTGATTTGTAAGTTCTCTTCCAACTTCAGAATTTGAGCTGACATGTTACTATTTTCTAATACAGTTTTTTCTAGTTCAATACTAGACTTCTCAAATTCTTTTAAATGAACTGACATCTTCTCATCGTTTGTTTCTAGTTTCTGAATAGTCTCCATTAAGGATCGGTTTTCTTCCTCTAAAGCCAGCATTGAGGATTCTTGTTCCTGACACTTAATCTTCAACTTCTCCAAATCATTTTGTACTTCAGTATTCCTGGCAATACTTTTTTCTAATTCTGAATCTCGTTCTTTTAGAATATTTTGGATATCTGATATTTCTTTGAGTTTATCATTATGCTCTTTCTCTAACAAAAGAAGTTTTCTATCAAAATCATCTGATTTAGCAGTCTCTTTTTCTTGGAATTTCTCTAACTGTTTTTCTGTTTCTTCATGTTCCTTCCTCAAATCAGCAATCTGTCTACCTAAATCAACTTCCATAGTATTCCACTTTAGTTCTTGTTCTCGTTTCTCCTCCTGGATAGAAATAAGACTATCTTCCAGTTCTGAAGAAACACTTTCAAGTTTTTCAATTAAATCGCTCTTTTCATTTAGGAGCATTTGCATACTTGTCATCTCATTTATTGATTCTCTTTCTCTTGTCTTCAGAATTTCAAGTTCATTTCGTAACTGCTCTGTGCTTACTTCCAGAATGCTTGTTTTGCTCTTCAAATTTCCATACTCATTGACAATTTCAAGATTTTTCTCCTCTGAATCTTTCAATTTTTTCTCCAATTCATGAATATCACATTGAAGTTTCATTTCTGCTGAAGTGGAGTCTTCATGTGTTTCCATGCTTTTCTTTCTTAAATCCTCAAGCTCTGTTTGAACATCTGTTAGCTTCCGTGACATTTCCTCTTCAAGTTGTGTATGTGATACCCTTTCAGATTCAAGAGTTTTCTCCAAAACAGAAATTTGCTGTTCAGATTGTTTTAATTCTCTATCCAGTTCTACTATTCTGGCTTCAACACCACTCTTTTCAGTTGAAAGAGTTTGTTCAAGTAAGGCAAATTTATTACTAACAGCAGCTAGTGACTCCCTTGCATTCATAGATTCTCTTTTGTATTCATCTAACTCACTGAGAACTCTTTTGTTTTCTTCAGTTAAATCAAACACAATTGAACCAAATTTCTCTTGTATCATTTGAGCTTGTTCACCAATTAATTTCATGTGATGACTTTGTGTTTCCCTTGTATCATTTTGTAGTTGTTTGTGTAGACCTCGCAGCTCTTGTGCTGCGGCAAGAATAGGTTTAAGCTTATCCACCCTGCTCCCCATTTGAGACATGGCTTTCAGTTGGGTTTCTAGTTCTGATATTTTACCCTGCAGAAGACCTGTTTCTTCATGATATTTGGCTTCGAGATCTACATTTGTTTTCTTCAATGGATCTAGTTCAGCATCCTGTTGTTCTAGCCTGAAATCAAAGGACATTAGATGCTTTGTAAGAAAAGTTTTTGTCAGATTTCTCGTGAACCTCCTATATGAATATAACACCAATCATGCCGATGATTTATTTATTACAGTACCTTTTCACTAACTCTGATAACTTTATTTCATTTGATTTGCATTCCACTTCTTTCAGAGATAAGTTATCTTCAATTGCTTTTTTCTGAGCAAGTAACTCACTCAGTTCAGCTTTCATCAGTTTGGTCACTTCCTGTTTACTGGCAGCAATCTCCTGCAAAATTTGTTTCATAATAAGTTTAGACGGGGTGGCTTACAATTGGTTAACTACCCTTTCACAAAATTTCAGCCAATCCAATTACCCTACCTTTTTAGAATCATCTTTTACTTGAAGAATTTCATTCTGAAGTTCAGAAATCTTGGCGTTATTTAAAGCCAGTTGAGCACTAAGTTTCTTAATTTCCTCTTCCTTTGATTCAAGTTCTTGGTGGATAGTTTGCTTATTTTTTGCAAGTGACAAGGATGCTTCCTCTTCCCTTTTCTGAATAGTTATCAATTGCTGCTGTAATGCGTCAATTTTAGCATTGGCTGTTTGCTAAAAACAAAATCAAATTAAGTCAAAATACATACTACAAAACATACAAAATGATATTTAAAAATTCAAAATAGTCAAGGAGCAATTAACAAGCCAGTTTCTTTAGTACCTTGTCAGACTCCAGTTGCTTGATACTCTCTCGTTTGTTTGTGATATCTTCCTTGCATTTATGCAGGAGAGATTCTAGTTTTTTCAGTTTTTCTGTTAAAGATGCAAGGACAGAAATTATCAAAACATAGGTATTTTCTAGAAAAATTGAGAGAAAACGAATTCATTTTTTTTTTTTAAAACTTGTCATACCTTTTAAAGCATTTTCAGATTCTGCACTGGCAGGCTCTGGGGTCAGAACAGCTGCAGCAGTTGAGGTCACAAGACCTGTGTCACCACCAGTCAATAGGTCTTCCTGCCCATCAACTTTTTGAGCCGAATCACTTAAAGTTTCTGCTGAGGAGTTCTCTATTTTGTCATCTGACTGCCCTTCAGTCTGTACTTGGTCACCTTGGGCCCTCAATAGTTTGATCTGTAATTCGGCATTACAATACTGATATTGTATTGCAGCCATAGTACAAGGTCGGGGGAAAAAATAGGGAAAAAGTTATAAAAGTGCCAAGCAGAAAAGCAGGTGAAAAGCAAAGTATACACAGCAACGAAAAGCAGATGCATGTAGTGGACATTTCTTAGATTCAAAACTTTGTTTTGAAAAAGCAAATGAAATAATAAAGGGAGTGCAACAAAAATGACACCAGGAGGCAGAATGGTCAAGAACTAGGGGTACTAGAACCATAATGCAAACCGACCTCTACCATTTTTAGATGATTAATTGAATGATTAAAAATAATTATTATGTACAGAAGCTGGTGTCTACAAATACATTTTTACATGTATAATTAAAACAAATAGTTAGATAATACAAGTTTCTAAATCAGGTAAAAGTTACAACTAACCTACATATTTTTATATAGTTAAAAAAATGTCAGGCTAAAAGTATTTAGTTTAAGTCAAGGCTTTAAAAAAAACTAATCTAAAATGGCCTAGCAGATGTTGGAGAGACAGACCTTGGTTTCCAATGTGTGAATAAGGTGATCTTTTTCTTCTAAATCAGACCGCAAAGCTTCTTCTAAGTGTGCTTTGGCCTGTTTTTCAAGGTTACATTGCTCTTTTAGTTCAGCCATTCTTCGTAAGGCTTTGTCTTGGCACTCAGTGAGGATATGCTATAAATTAGATAACAATTCAAGATACAGTATTAAAAACTGAGTCAAAGTACCAGGTATATTTCTGTCTCAAACAGGTTTAACCCACCTTAGCATTTTTATTATCTCGCTCAAGATCTCTGTAATGTTTGGCGAGATCTGCATATCGTCCTTTGTACTTGTGATACTTCTGCTGTATTTTCTGATAGGCGGAAAGGATTTGTTCCTTGTTTATATTGGGGCCAACTGACTCTGATGCCTCACTGCAGGACTCCAAATCGGACTATTTAGAAAACCATATAGAGTATCAGTCAGTTATAACTCTTAAGAAATATAATCATAAGACAACCAATAAAATACTGGGTCTTGCCTGAAAATTGTATGTAGCTCCTGATGATTCCAAAACAGGAAACATAAATGATGAGTCAGACGCAAGTGAACTGACAGAGGATCGTAGGCTAGATGGCATTTTGGGCGTGCTAGTATCAGGCTGTAAATCCACGTGCATGAAACCTGCACTTGAGCCAGCATCAAAGGAATTTCTTATTGGAGTTGCCTGACCTCCCCTGTAAGCCACACCCCCCTGTGAAGGAGCCTTTTTAATAGGAGAACCTTGTGGAGTATCTGCTCAGAAAAACATATTTTTTATTAGAAGTACTGTTTGTCTAGATAGTTCATGAAAATAATATGAAGAAAAATTACCATCAAAGTCCCCATCAATACTAAAATTGTCGTTGGACGCTGTATCAATTGTTGAATTGTTACTGCTCCCTGGAGACACAACAGCCTGAAAAAGTAATAGGTCATGTGAAGAAATGGATTTTGAAGAATTGGATGTCCTGAGAAAACTTTTAATGTAAATCAAAATTAATACAGTTTCAAAACTAATATCAAGTGTTTTAAAACCTCGAGATAGGTTGCTCATAACTGCACTTGTAAACCGCGGTAATAACAAGTATTCAGGCCATCTTACTAAGGGTTCCCTAACCTACTTGGACAAATCACCGTCGAATTATATCGGACAATCAGGTATAACCAGAAGACAAATAGATTCTTTTTCTAGCACAAATTAGATTAGGATATTTTTGTAGGCAATGACATAAAAATAGTTTAAATTGTATGTTGAAATGTCACTTTTTGACATACCTGGGCCAGCTGCTGCATAGACTGCGTAAATTTTTGTGACGGAATTTTAACCTCCTCCGTCAGTTTATCCTTCAGTTTCTTAAACATTTTTGACCACGTAACTAGACCATAGACAGGAAATATAGGCCAATAATAACTAAATGTACTCTTGTTTACGTAGACAGACTACATTTCCCCTACACAGTGAACAAAACAACATCGTCGTTAGAAGCAGAAAGCTCCAACCTCCGACTCGGGGGAGGAACGAGGAAAATTCTACGGGTATGACAACTTTTCTGTGCGTATCTACTTTACGGGTTTGTGCAGATGTGAAGATACGATCAAGTGTCTTTTGTTTTCATTGAGAGTCATAAGACCACAGACCACCAGAGTTTCTCAATCTTCTTAATCACCTCGCACCTCCCCCTCCTTCTCTATTGTTTTGACAAGTGTAAGAGGCGGTCACTAGACCGACCGAGTGGTACTTCCCCCCCTTCCTTGAGTACTCTCCGCCCCCCGTTCAGTCACGTTCAGTAATGGTGGATTTAGTCTCATCTCATGACGCGAGTATTAGGCGAGTCACCTCAGCCGAGGAGCTCGCCTTTCAGGAGGACTGATTGTTCGAAAACGTTTGAGGCAAGCTGCCCCAGCTGAGGCCTGCGCCTCACGAGACTCCACCATAACAGATGCAGGGCGGTGCTAGTTATGTGTTAATAAGAGGGTGGGGGAAAACAAAATTAATTTCGGAAAGGGACACTACACATGTTTCTTCTATTCTCAAACAAAAAAAGCCACCAAACATTCTATTGTCAGCTTAATTACATTAAATGACTTATATTATTAACTTATACAGTATGGAACAAAGTAACCTTTTAAAAAGTATAAAATGTCGTGTTCCGGCAAAAGGATGAGAGCAGTGAGCAGTCTTAAATATCAGAGGTTGCCAATTACCTAGAGCGCTTCTATTTAAAAAATATCAGTTTTAACTTTTTAAAGCTACACCTCAATAATGGAACATCAAACAGGACAAACACTCCCGAGGTCAGCCTTCCCGCACTCCGGCAGTCTTTTTCTTCCGCCAACGACTTTCGGCGTTTGCTTCATTGAGTGTGCACTGACCGCACACTCCATCATCAAGATCTCCACTCATCACAGTACTTACATAATTACACAACAAATAATTACGCAAAATTACTCGGAAATATAAACAATATTTACATGCAAACATTTAGCTTGTGGCCGCAAATCTCTTGTCAGAGAAATTGCACGACTTCCTATATGCTAATCAATTGGGAATTCTATGCACTTCATGTTCAAGTCTTGATTGGGTGAAAGAGCCCACGCACTGTTCCTGTCAACCGACCAGCAAACTAGTGGCTGCCGGACCGACTTCCTGACTCCGCGGACGTAGTGTGAGCCTCGGTAGACGAGCCCTTCTGCATTCTCCCATTAGTCATCTTGCTGGGCGCCCTGGAATCGGTCCTGGCCTTGCCGCTGGGGAGACCGTTGGGAGTCCGCGCGGAGGCCAGCGGCGTGTCCTTCGGGTTGCCGTTGGGTCGCCCAACTTGTCCAGTCGGCTTTGGCCTCCTGCTGGGGCTGGGGCCGGCCCTGAGGTCTCCCCTGGGGTCTCCCCTGGGGTCTCCTCTAGGGTCTCCCCTAGGGTCTCCCCTGGGGTCTCCCCTAGGGTCTCCGCTGGGATCTCCTCTGCGGTCTCCTCTGGGGTCTCCTCTGGGGTCTCCTCTGGGGTCCGCTCTGGGGTCCGCTCTGAGGTCTTTGGGGCTCGCTCCAGCGGGACCTGACCGAGCCCTGGAGTACGACCCCGTTGGTCCCGTTGGGGTCTCGGCGAAGGACACCCGGGACGTGCCACTACCCCCGCTGCGGGGAGGAGGTTGGGGGACGCTGACCGGGCCAACGGTGGAAGCGGTGGAGGTGCTGGAGGTGCTCGCTCGCACGGTACCCTGCAAAGTGTAGCGAGTTAGTCCACAACCCGCGAGACTATGCGCATCCGTCAGCATTTGTCCTGGTCTTACCTTCCCCGTGCGTGGACCGGGCCGGGGCTGCGGCTCGTCTTCCTCCCAGTTTTCCTCGACTTCGGATTGCTCCACTTCCTCGTCGTCCTCCGGTATGACGGCGGACTGCACCCACTCCCGGATGCGGTCCTTCTTGGCGCCGCGGTCCACCGTCGTCTCGATGCCGCACTCGGACAGCGTGGCCAGCAGCTTGTTCTTCTCCTCGGCGGACGAGTGGAACGAGTACATGGACGGGCAGAGTCCGTCGTCCTCGACGCCCTCCTCTGTCAGGACAGAGAGCATGTGAGCACCCGGGGGATGTAGGGGGTGTCGAGCAGCCAGAGAGCGTCCTCGCACTCACCCTTCTTGTCCGAGTTGCCCTTGGCCACCCACCGGTCGTCGGCGAAGCGCTGCAGCTCGCCGAGGCCAGCGGGGCGGCGGTCGGCGCGCGGCTCCAGGAAGCTGCGCAGCATGCGCTGCGCGCGCGCCGACACGAGGCGCCACAGCTTGGGGCGCCGCGACGCCGGCAGGAAGGGCATGGAGGCGGCGGCGCGCCACGACACGTAGCGCGCGTACCGGGGGTCGTCCTGCGCGGCCTTCTGCCACGGCAGGCACCCCGTCAGGCACACGAACACCACCACGGCGAACTGCCACACGTCGTGGGAGGTGTCCGCCCTGGGAAGCAGAGAGCAAAGGAGCAGGGTGAAGACCGCGCGCGATCATCCGCAAGAAGAAGGAGTTCCCCGAAATGAGCCTCATTCCGCCGCGGCACGTAACGGCCTGTCAATAAACGCGGTTCCATTCGGTCGGCGGGGTGTTTACAGCTCGAGCAGCGCATGCCGCGGCGGCGATGGCGCGGGGCAGAGGGCGGCCCGCGGCCCCGAGAGTGGCGCGCCGGCGGAGGTTGGCCTATCCTTCGCCCCTCGCCGCGCGCGGCTAGACGCGCAACAACCACCCCGCGGCGGTGTGTGTGTTGCTGGTTCCGCGAACACGGCCCGGCTGCTGCGGGTCGTGACGCTGTGCGCGCGATCACTTACTTGTACGTCTGGTCCGTGTCAGTGTGCAGGACCTCGGGCGGCGAGTACGGCAGCCACTCGTGGCGCCGCGTCACCAGGGTGCCCGCCCGCCGCGTCTCGCCGAAGTCGCACAGCTTGACGCGCGAGAAGTCGGAGCGGAGCACGAGCACGTTGTCCAGCTTCACGTCCCGGTGCACGAGGTCCCGCGAGTGCAGGTGCTCCAGGGCGGAGGCGATCTGTCGACGGAAAGGGGAAAAGACCGTGTTCGATAAATCGCTAAGCTCATCTTGCCGTTTGAACTCGGCCGCTAAGCTTACTCACCTGCTTGGCCACGCGCTTGGAGTGCAGGTCGCCGATGCCGTTGTCCGACACGTTGGCCGTCAGGTCGCCGAGCGGCGCGTACTCCTGCGTGAACACGTAGAAGCCGGCCGTCTCGAAGGCCACGTCGTGCGTCGTGATGATGGAGCGGTGCGCGCCGAGGTGCAGCGAGTAGTGGAACTCGCGGTAGAAGTCCTTGAGCGCCGTGTAGGGCTTGGGCAGCGCCTTCAGGACCGCCTCGCGCCCCGTGGCGCGGTGCTCCGCCAGCAGGATCTTGCCGAACCATCCTTCACCGACGATCTGCAGGATGTCGAACTCCTCGGCCAGGTTCACCTGCAAAAGACGGCGCAAATAACAATGCGGCGAGGATTGGGGGGAAGGGTGGCGGTGGCGGAATGATCGCCGTAAAGATTCCTTGAGGTTCGACGCCGGGCTTAAACTTGCGGTACTCGTGGTGCTCGGGTTGTACTGTACTCTAGCACCCCGTAGGCTGTCCCCTAACTCGCCCCACCCGCCACGCCCGCCCAGCCCGCCCCGCCCAGGCATAGCACCTCGCTTGTCTGCTTTGACCACGCCTTGGCAAGCCGCACGACCGCCCCGGTGATCCCGGCAGGCCCGCCCAGCAGCGCGCCACCGACGTAGGCGCGACAGACGTCACGGCGCAGGCGGGGCGAGGAAGAAAGTTGAGGGGAGGACCCGCCCCCCCCCCTCCCTACCGGAGGGAAGGACCCCCCGCCCCGTCCCGGGCACACGGCGGGAGTAGCGTCGCGACACCCCCGTTGCCATGGCTCGGCCGTCCAAATTTCTCACACGTCAGCACTCATTCAAAAAACCCAGCCAATGACTAGTGTGCTTGGAGGAG